CTACAACAACAACAAAAAACGAGAGGAATATATAGGTATCTGGAGGGGAGTTCCAGTGATGAGGAGGCGGAACTGCGTGGACAAGAGCCTGACAGTCTTGGACAGAGAGGAGTTCTCGTTCTTGATGCGGTGGGCCTCGTCGATCAGCAGGTAACGCCACCTAAGGGAGGTAAAACCAAACCCGCAAGAATAGCGTAGAACGATAGTTAAGCTAACGAGAGGGAAGGTTGATCAGGGAGAGAGGGCAGGGGAGAGTGTGGGAGAGAGAGAGGGGAAGAGAGAGAGAGAGAGAGAGAGAGAGAGAGAGAGAGAGAGAGAGGCGGCAGTACCGAGCAAGACACGAATACTGCTGTAGTACCTCGCAATCGTGGGGCTGTCGGTATTCTCAACGCAGGACGACCCGTCAAAACAACTCGCTACGAGAAACACCCCTGGGGGGGGGGCAAAGAGGAGTAGAGAAAACTTCATACATGAGCCGACCTCAGACGAAATCAGCTTTCTCGTCACCAACAACACGCACAAACCCCCTAACGCCAATAAGCCCCAAATAAGGCCCATGACCACATCCACATATATTGCAGGTGAAATCGTGTGTCACGGATGGAATATTCAAGCTGCCGCAGCAGCAAAACGCCAATCCACCCCTTCCTAACCACCGCTCACTTGATCTTCTTGAGGGTGGACGACTCCTTGAGCACGCTCTCGTACGACGCCACGCACGCGTCGAAGTTTCCGGTGTCGAGCACGTTCTCGCACACAGCCTTCCGCTCGGCCTTGTTGCCCAACAGCTTGACCGTCTTGATCGACGGGCACCACCTCTTGAACTCTCTCATCCAGTTGCCGACCTGACATTATTGTTGTCGTGGCAAAAAATAAATAAATCATGAGTCAAGCGGAAGATAACGGGGCTGTTTGTTGTTGGCGCGATGGACTGCTTTCGGTGAAGAGAACAAACTCATGAATATTGTCATATTTCGTAAACATATACGGAATAGAACGACCACCCTTTCACTCATTTTCCTAGTTGTTGGTTTGGGCCTTCTTCAACTACTACTTTCCGGTATTATGCGTGGCACGTGCTTCAACCCTTTGGACCTTTGTTGACACCGCGGTGTAACTCCAGGCATCAGCCAATATACAGACCTACCGCGGTTGGTTCACCTCAAACAAAATACCGTAGCTAGCAGTGAGTGACACTTTGGCAAACAAGCCGCTTTCCGAAAAAGGGAGAGAAACCAAATCTACTGCTGTATTTGGGGCTAGGGGCTCGGCGCATTGATCTCCGTCTCCCGCCCCCTCGGTCTCTCTTTATCTCTCTCTCCCTCTGTCTATCTTACCGTTGACACTTTAGGAAAGCCGTCCCCCCAAAAAGGAGAGGACACGAATGCAATGCTGTATTTGGGGTTAGGGGCCCAGCGCATTTACCTTCCCCTCCGCCTTACGTCTCTCTCCCTCTTCCTCTCACTCTATCTGTCTTCTTTCTCTCTCTGCCTCTGTCCCTGCCTCTTCTCTTTCTCTCTGTCTCTGTCTCTGTCTCTGTCTCTTCTCTCCCTCTCTCTTTCTCTCTTCCTCTCCGTCACTGTCTCTACCCCCCTCTCTCTCACCGTGGACTTGGGCACGATGACGATGTGCGGGCCGTTAATCCCCCTGTCTTCCTTCAGGTACGCTAGCACGCTGATGCTTTGCAGGGTCTTGCCCAATCCCATCTAAAAAAAAAAACACAGGAGGAAGAATCGTGCAGGGGATCAGAGCGCCGTCTATCGAGCATATAACACTTATTTGTTGCTGCTTGCTCTGTTGTCAAAAAAAGGACGTGGCGGAGGCGGGGTATGTGCATACCCATCCTGCTCTGTTGCCAACAACAAGAACCACCCGCAGCAGCAGCAGCAGCAGCAGCAGCAGCAGCAGCAGCAGCAGCAGCAACTGCAAGCAGCCAAAGCAGCAGCAGCAAGCACCAGCAGAGGCAACAACAACAGCAGTCGGTGTTGAGCTGCTCGATCGATGCCACCGCCGAAACCTCGTTGGCGTCAGTCAGCGGTTGCGCGCGACGGTCAGGTTGCTTCCGCCACTGCTGCTACCGTGTATGTACATGCAGCTCTCACCTCGTCAGCCAGGATGCCGTTGATGCCGTTGTCGTGGAGCTTGATCATCCAGTTAAGCCCTTCCAGCTGATAGGCCCTCATCGTACCAAACCTGAACACGGCAGTAGCCAATCCAAAAAAAACAGCGATCGTTTCGGCGACCGCACCACAGACAGTATAAACCAAGCAGTAAGCGCCTATCGGGGTATGCACGATCTAACCAAACGAGCTGGGCAGCCCCCCAGCTAGACCACCGGCAGCATTAGACAGGAAATCTATTTAGCTGATCCATCATCAATGGGCCCAGTTCTGCCAATCAAAATCAGCCGAACACGTGCCAGTAGCGGATGAACCCACACAAGGCAGCCGACCATTTACACCATCACATCAGTAGCGGAAACCTTCTCCTCAAGGGTGCCCACCTCCAGAGATCAAGAACGCCCTCACAAAAACAAAAACAAACTAAACGTCGGAGCCAAAAGCACAGCAAGAGCTATGCATACAGCATCTGTCAGCGCAAAACACACAAGAGAACAAACAACGAATTCCAACTGTCCGACCGTCTGACTCTCTCTCTCTCCCTCCCCCCCCCCCCATACTTTACCGTCCAGGACATTACATGCACAGGACTAGTCACGAGGTGCGTGTACGCTAAACAATCTTCATCTCGTCTCTTCCTCTCCCCCCCCCTCCTTTCCCTCACTTGATGAGGTCGGGCTGCTTGGAGAGGCGAGTCACCCTGGCCTTGCTAGCCGCCGTCGCCAGCAGCAGCTTGTCCTCCTCCTGCTCCTTCATTCGCCCCCTGACCCCGTCTCCCTTCCCGCCCTTCTTGGACCCCTTCCCGCCCTTCTCCTTCCCGAAACTCGTGCTTTAACCACGACAGCATCCAAACACCAAACACAGGGGGAGGGATTTGAATAAGGACAGCTCATGCCGTATCCGCAACATCCAAACAAGCGGGGTATTGTATATATTACGAAGGATATCTCGCGCTTTACCCACAACATCCAAACAAGCGGGGTATTGTACATAGTACGAAGGATATCTCGCGCTTTATCCACAACATCCAAACAAGCGGGGTATTGTATATATTACGAAGGATATCTCGCGCTTTACCCACAACATCCAAACAAGCGGGGTATTGTATATATTACGAAGGATATCTCGCGCTTTACCCACAACATCCAAACAAGCGGGGTATTGTATATAATACGAAGGATATCTCGCGCTTTACCCACAACATCCAAACAAGCGGGGTATTGTATATAATACGAAGGATATCTCGCGCTTTACCCACAACATCCAAACAAGCGGGGTATTGTATATATTACGAAGGATATCTCGCGCTTTACCCACAACATCCAAACAAGCGGGGTATTGTATATATTACGAAGGATATCTCGCGCTTTACCCACAACATCCAAACAAGCGGGGTATTGTATATATTACGAAGGATATCTCGCGCTTTACCCACAACATCCAAACAAGCGGGGTATTGTATATATTACGAAGGATATCTCGCGCTTTACCCACAACATCTAAACAAGCGGGGTATTGTATATAATACGAAGGATATCTCGCGCTTTACCCACAACATCCAAACAAGCGGGGTATTGTATATATTACGAAGGATATCTCGCGCTTTACCCACAACATCCAAACAAGCGGGGTATTGTATATATTACGAAGGATATCTCGCGCTTTATCCACAACATCCAAACAAGCGGGGTATTGTATATATTACGAAGGATATCTCGCGCTTTACCCACAACATCCAAACAAGCGGGGTATTGTATATATTACGAAGGATATCTCGCGCTTTACCCACAACATCCAAACAAGCGGGGTATTGTACATAGTACGAAGGATATCTCGCGCTTTATCCACAACATCTAAACAAGCGGGGTATTGTACATATTACGAAGGATATCTCGCGCTTTACCCACAACATCCAAACAAGCGGGGTATTGTACATATTACGAAGGATATCTCGCGCTTTACCCACAACATCCAAACAAGCGGGGTATTGTACATAGTACGAAGGATATCTCGCGCTTTATCCACAACATCCAAACACAACAAACAGGGGGGCATTTTACGAAGGCGTTCGGCTTGAGGGGGGTGGGGAGGGGGCGGGGTGTATAATCTCCCCTATTGATGTCGTCCCTGCGCACCAACAAGACAAGAAGCATCACTACAACAACGAACGCCGCGCTAGCACGTCGTTGCCGAATGTCTTTCTTCAAACGGCACGCAGGGAGAGCGGAAAGGGGGCGGGGGTATAGGGCACGCGATTGCCTTTTGGCACATGACATACAACAAACTTGCACGCCAGGAGAGAAAAGCGGCCTTTCTGAGGCTCGACCTCTTCATCCCAAAAGACCAAGTGACAGATGTCGGGACTCTCGTGGGGACACATATTCACCCGCTCTTGGCATGCCGCGGAACGGTAGAGCGCGCAGAATTTTCCCCGCGCTCTGGAACCACGAACCCGTGTACAGCATCACTATTGTACAGATGATACAACCACCACGGGCTACACGGCACTCCGACATTATGCAGGTACTACAAGATATACGTTCATCCTTTCGATTGAGAAAAGCGCCATGAAACTGCAATCGCACGAGCAAATGTCCGGGGTGTTGATTCCCCCGCTGGATTAAGAAACCGCAACCACATTTTTTTTTTTTTTTTTTTGTAATCTTCACTTCAAATCATCGCTTACAGCACTAGTGCCGTTTACTCCAACCCGTGGTCACACAGAAGAGCTTCTCTCTACCCTCCCCTCCTGCGGTACTTCGCCTTCGATTTTTAATGCGAGAAGAGTTCAGCACTCTCTTCCCTCTGTGTACAAATGCGGACTCTCGTATCGAACAGACACAGACACACACCTGTCCAAGAAGTGCGTGAAGACCTCGGACTGCTGCATGAGGTACTGGAGCCGCGTCTCCGCGTTGCCCCCGAATTGCCCATCCGCCGCCTGCGAGAGAGAGGAAAAAACAAGACGTGCCACACACGAACGAACAGATTTAAAGATGAACATTGCGGATATGACGCTAGGGTACACCACAGCCACTACACCGGGTACTCTTGTCGGCAAGTTTTCGCCCCATGCCCTATGCTTCGGAACCAAGGTGCAACCAAGCCTAGCCAGGCCTATCCCCTGCAATTACAACGATAGTCTGCGCTGCGACAGGTGTGCAGCTACGAGTAGCATTGGTCGTGCGCAAGTGTCTTTTCTCCTCTTCTTTCGTGTGACGTGCCGAGGACGAAAGCGCACACCTCTCCTCTCCCAAAAAAAAAAAATGACGAAAAAAAAACAGCCAATATCCGATGATGTACACGTGGGGGGCATATACATACGGTACCCTTCTGCCGCTCGATCGTACTAGTAGAAGTAGAAGTATGGAGAAAGCCCAATATCCATCGATGCGCGCGCGGGGGGGGGGGGGGGGGGGGGACCCCCCTTTTTTCCCCCCCCCAAACCCTTCCCGGGTTTTGGGGGGGCCCCCACCCCCCCCCCTCCAAAAAGGGGGTTTCCTTTTGACCCCCGGGGCTGGGCAGGGCCCTTGCCCCCCTTGGGCTTGGCCTTTCCCCTTGGCGGGGGGGGGGGGGGGGAAGGGTTCCCCCCGGGTCCTTTCTTGGGGGGGCGGGGGAAAAAAAAGGGAAAACCCCCCAAATCTCGGGGGACGTCAAGAGACAAACCCCGGAGAAAAGCGAAAAAAAAAAAATTTCTCAAGAAAAATCAAAGGTTTTTTTAAAAGTTTCCAATAATTTTTTTCCCTAAAAAAAATTCTTTTGGGGGGGGGGGGGTGGTTCCCCGGGGTTTTTTTGGGCGGACAACAACAAGAGAGACCCCCCACAGTATCAAAAAAAAAAGACATACGAAGAAAAAAAAAAAAATTCCCCCCCCCC